CGGCAGAGCGGCGGGAAAGGGGTCGCTGAGTCCGAGCGAGAGGCGGACGCTGACTTACTGGGGCGATGCTCAAGCAGAAACCCCGGTCTGCCCGCTGAGTTACCTACCATTTCTCTCTGGTCACACCTGCTGTTCCCGGGAGGTCTTTCTACCTTCGCGTCTGCTGTTGCTTCTGCCTGAATGACCCATTCTCTACCTGGAAAACGCCATCCCCTCCTCACCTATTCTTGACAGTCTGTCGTAACTCCGACTCCATTTATTTCGGCTTATTATTTATGTATTTTTATTCAAACCATTTGCTAAACACTAGACAATAGCGCTTTTCGCAGTTCAACTTAGAACATGTAAACTATTGGTTGGCCACAAAAGGTGCCTCTGAGTCCCCAGGGCCAACTTCTTAAAAACTCTTACCTTGCTCTTTGATTACAAAATCCGCATTATTAACCGGTTAATAGTTAATCGTATTATTAACCGGTTAATAATGCGGATCAACCATTAACCGGTTAAAAATACGGATTAACCATTAACTGGTTAATAATGCGGATCAACCATTAACCGGTTAATAGTGAAGATTTTGTAATCAAAGAAAACACGGTAATTTCAAGAAAAACATCAAAAGTGCTTTATTCAAAGTAATGTTCATCACTAGCTACACATTTCCCCTGAAATTATATTTCAGGTAATGTGTGGATACCGTCCCAATAGAACTCTTCTTGTTTTGAGGCAGACCATTCAGAGACCCAATTTTCCACTTCTTCATACGTTTTGAAGTGCTTCTCAGAAAGTGCATGTGCCATCGATCGGAACAAGTGATAATCTGAAGGAGCAAGGTCTGGTGAATACGGCAGGTGGGTTAATACTTCCCAGGCAAGATCTTTTCACGTGTCTTTAACTGGTTTTGAAGTGTGTGATGGTGCGTCATCATGAAGCAAAATTACTTTGCCTTGTCTTCTGGCCCATTAGATCGTTTCACGATCAAAGTGTGGTTCAAATTGATTATTTGTTGTCGGTAGTGATCAGTATTAACAGTTTCACCTGGTTTTAGAAGCTCATAATACACCACGCCTTCCTGATCCTACCAAATGCAGAGCATTGTCTTCTTTCTGAAGCGATTTGGCCTTGCAGTCGATGTTGATGGTTGACCTGGATCAACCCATGATTTTGTGCATTTGGGATTCTCAAAATAAATTTATTTTTCATTGCCAGTCACAATTCGGTGCAAAAAAGACTTTCTTTCATGCCATTGAAGCAACATTTTACTGATGACTTTTCGGTTTTCCATTTGTCTTTCATTCAGTTGATGTGGCACCCATTTTCCTTCCTTTAAAATCTTTCCCATTGCTTGTAAATGATCGAAATTTGCTTGCTGAGCAACGTTTAATCTTTCTGCAAGTTGTTTTTGAGTTTGACATGCATCTTCATCCAATAATGCTTGTAATTGTTGGTCTTCAAACTTTTTCAGTTGACCTGGACGTTCTTTGTCTTTCACATTGAAATCATCACTTTTAAAGTCTTTAAACCAGTGTTCACAAGTGTCTTGAGATGGAGCATGTTCACCATAAGCTTCCCGAAGTATACGATAACTTTCAGCAGCATTTTTCTTCAAAATAAAGTAATGAATTAAAACTTCCCACAAATGCTCTTTTTTTTGGAATGAAATTCAACATTTTTAAGCGTAAAAATATCTATGATGTTAACACCTTCAGAAAATTTGACATATGAAGTTTTGAAGCTTGCTGTCAATACAACAAAATAGCATACATATCAAATCGCATATATATCAACATATGTGTAATTCCATTTATTGAAAAATATCCATATTATTAATCGGTACACCTAGTATTGTAAATAATGCTGCAACGTGCAAAAAAATAATATACATGGAGCCTAAGCTGCCATTCCAGAGACACATCTTATGCCTCAGAACCTTTGGAATGTTAAACAGGGCAAATTAACCTTTGGGCTGGACCTAAAGCAACATTGTAGTACTAAAGAACTTTTTGCAAAGATAACAAGAAAGTGGACTGTTGACTATGGGCTGTTGACTACTGGACTGTTGACTATAGACTGAAAATCAACAACATTGTTTAGAATTAGCAGTACTATATTAGCTTATCTTTCTACTGATATACTTTCCCCCTTTCATAAATACCCCTTGCCTTGGTTTCCTAATCAGAATATTATTATTATTATTATTACTAGAGGCATGGTGCACAAAAATTTGTGCACGGGGGGGGGGTCCCTCAGCCCAGCCTGTGCCTTCTCGCAGTCTGGGACCCCTTGGGGGATGTCCACCTGCTGGCTTAGGCCCACTCCCTGGGGGATCAGGTCTAAGCTGGCAGTCAGACATCCCTCTGGCAGCCCAGGAGCCCTTGGGGGATGTCCACTTGCCAGCAGGGAGCAGGCCTAAGCTGCAATCGGACATCCTTAGCGCTGCTGAGGAGGTGGGAGAGGCTCCCGCCACCACCACTGTGCTGGCAGCCATCAGCCTGGCTTGTGGCTGAGCAGAGCTCCCCCTGTGGGAGCGCACTGACCACCAGGGGGCAGCTCCTGCATTGAGCATCTGCCCCCTGGTGGTCAGTGTGTGTCATAGTGACCAGTCATTCCCAGTCGTTCTGCTGTTAGGGTCAATTTGCATTACCCTTTTATTATATAGGATTTCACTAGAAGCCCAGTGAACGAATTCATGCACAGGTGGGGTCCAGCGGCCCAGCCCCAATTGAGGTGGATTGGGGCTGAGCCTGTTGAGAGGCGGAAATGGTGGGAGGTTGGCCGGCCTGCCCTGATCTGGGCCAATCAGGGCTGGGCCAGCTGAGGGGAGGGGCTGTGGGCGATTGGCCAGTGGGACCCACCCCCAATTGGGGTTGGGGGGCTAATTGGGGGTGGGGCCTGCCATGAGGAGGAGCTGTGGGTGGGGGGCCGGCCAGCCCCACCCCCTATTGGGGTGGGGGGCTATCAGGGGCAGGGCCAGCCAGGGGGAGGGACTGCAGGCTGATCAAGGTGTTGGGGGCCTATCAGGGGTG